TTGCTTTTAAATGTTTAATTACGCATTATTAAAACCTGAAATTTTTAGTGGATGTAGTTCATGCTAGGGCCAGATTATAATAAAAATTTCAGGTATTAATAACACACAATTGAAAACTTAAAAGCAAAAAAAGAGTGGCGCCACCTTCCACTGCCCACCCACCACCAGCGAGTCGCCACTGTTCTAGATACGCCACTAGTTATCAAGGATGTTCTTTCATATGGCTCGAATAACAATGTGTTCCGTCCTATAATAGTAGAGTGAATTTTTTATATAACTCATAGAAAACAGCGTTTTCTATTAGCCACCAAAAAAATTCACTTTACTATTATAAGGACAAAACATGGCATTGTTTGGACTATATGAAAGAGGGTTCCTACAAACCATATAATCGGCCCGAACAACACTATGTTTTGTCCTTACAATATCAAAATTCAAGCCTTCAGTTAAGAGTCTTATGATGATTTTTCAGAAGGTATGGAACCTCGTTGTTCCTGAAAAGTTCACGATGGGGTTAAATCCTTTGTACGCAGTTACTGTACTCACTGAGCTCTAAAAAATGACAAATCCCCGATTCAAAACGGAGAGTCACACTTGGGGGCCTTCCCTCGTTAGTTGAACTCTTTCTTTCTTCGTTGCTGTGAGTGTATGTGTCATTGTATAGAGTCAGTTTTTCAAAAGAAATCGACTCTCGCCTTTTTATGTAAACTATTCATGCAAGGAGAAAATAACTAACCTCCTGTAACAAGAGTTCCAACACTCCCAAATGGACAATTTTCTTGTCCGTGGTCTTTGTTATTCATGTGATGCTCATGTATTATTGATATGAGACTGGGCACGAGCAATATAAATGTTGCATTGTGACTCTGTACAGTTTCAATGAAATACTGTGTATCTCTTGTACCATTGGGCTTTAACATGATTAAACTGCTGCCGAGACTATGAGCGCCAATTAATTCCAGAGCATGCATATCGAACGATGACGAGGTAACTTGTAGAACACAGTCAGCACTAGAAATTATACGAGCTTGAACGAAGGATTTCATTGCTGTTACAAAATTCTCGTGGCTAATGGAAGTCTAAAAAAATAGTAAAAATTTGGAACTTGTTTATTTTTACAAATTGGCGCATTAGGATATATAAAAGTTAGATTGGATATTTTGTAGTTGCTTCCAATAGTCTATTTTTAGAGCATTCAAAATTTGATGTATCTTATTAAAGTAGTTTTATGGCGGCTCTTTAGTTAGAAAAAATTAGTACGAATAGCCATTGATACTTGCACTAACATAAACTCCCGTACTGCTATCTCTGTCTCTTTCTTTGTTTCTTACCGGTTTTGGAATTCCGGTTGAGCCTGACGTAAAAATAATATATGAAATATTCGACATTGTTAGATTCACTGTTGGTATATCCTGAGTGTACGATTCAAAGTATTTCGTATGTTGTTCCAGAACAGTGGTGTCTATATTGACTAAAGCAATATGTTGTTGGTCACAGTTAAAAAACAAATCACTTGTTTTCTGATGTAAGAGTAATAATTTAGCTTGTACTTCATTCATTAGCAGAGAAACACGGTTTATAGGATCCTGTGGATTCAGTGGACAGTAGACAGCACCACACGCTAAGATTGCTAGGATACCAAGAACCATTTCAATCGATCTTTCAACACATTGACAGATTATGTCTCCGACTTTCACATCACATTCACGGATAAGATACGATGACAGCTGTTCTACATAGTGCAAGGTTTCTCCATATGTGAGAGACTGTTCATCCAAGATAACGGCAAGCTTTTGTGAATATTCCTTAGCGCGATCAAAGAATTCTTCATGTATCGGTTTCAGAGGACAAGTGAATTCAACGTGAGTATCATTTAATTCGTTATATATTTGTATTTCGTGCGGAAGCAGAATTGATAGTTCATAAATCGGTTGCTTCTCGCGATGAAATGTTGATGAGAATAGTTGTTGCAGAAGAGCATGAAAACGATCGGACATTGTTTGGATTGTGCTATGTTGAAATAGATCTGTTGCATATTGAAAGGAATATGATAGCGAATGTTCTTCGTTAGTTTTGTCATAGTGAACGTTGAGTGTTAAGTCGTATTTTGCTAAGTAGGTGTCAGCATCATCTTTGGGTACTCGAGTAAACAATGTTGAATTATTGTCAATAACTTTAAAAATAAACATATTCCGAAGTAGTTGCATTTGTTGTTGATTACTAATATAACAGCTGTCAATAATTTGTTCATATGGTAGAGTTGAATTTTGATGAATATTTGAACACAAATCTTTAACATTTAGTAATTGCTGAGCAAACTTTTGTGTGGGGTCAATTTTAAAACGATAAAATAAAGCACTATCCAACAATCCGATAACCTGTTGTAGTTCTGAATTTTCGTCTCTTTTAGCTGCTGCAATACTTCCAATACATAGATCTGTTTCTTGCGTGAGTTTAAATAAAAAAATATAATATGTCGTTAAACATAGATGAAATAACGTTAGACCTTCGGTGACACTATTAGCAGCACCATATGTAATCATTTGTTGTGTTAAATATGGTTCTAATACAAAAGACAATGAAGCACCATAGGGTATTCTTCTTCGTGGTGAAACCAGTGTATCTTTGTTGATCAGTACCGTCAGCAACTTTGGTTTACTATCATATCCAGCCATTAACTGACTCCAAAATTCTTTTTTTTGTTTCATTTTATCTTTTCCTTCTTTCCTTTGAAAACTTATATAATTAGTTAGTTGCAACGGCAAAGTATCGACTTGCTGGTTTATGTAAGCAGAACAAAGATCATTTAAGAATATTTGCTCTGAACTGTCATCAAAACAGCACTGATGAAAATTAAATAATAGGTAATCATCTTCCAGAAGTAAATTGTCATTTGATTGATGACTCGTAGTATTTAGAATGACATGACATCGGCACACCCTTCCTTCCTGTAAATTAAACAATGAACGATCTGTTTCTTCATTATACAATATTTCTTCTAGCTCGGCTTTGGTTGATACAATGCTAACAGTAAAACGACTCAGCTTTTCATCGACCAATTCATCAAATGATCTCACGGTTTCTTCTAAATAATTGTCATCTTTGTTATAAATCAACGATGTCCTTAAGGCTGCATGTTTCTTTATCGACAATAGAAATGCTCGATGTAATCGCGTAATAGAAACAGGTAGAGAAGGACTTGTGGGAGTAGGTTTAAGTAGTAAAGTATGATTATAGATGCCATAAAGACTAATTTGTTCATCATTCCAAATTTGTAGTTGTGCATAGGATGCACGAGAACCTAGAAATAAAAAAATAAAAAGAGCAGATTGTTATATAGTACGAATCTCGTGACTAAAATGTATCGTACCTTTCTTTAAGCTAGATGACTTGTTCAGCCCATAATCTATGTTCTGTAGTTGTAATCCATCACTATTGTTGTTTTTCCTCTTGCTCAATGCATGAAGAATATCAGCTCGTGTTACCGTTCGGCGATGCTCCTCAGCTTGAATTTTCTTATTAAGAAATGTTGAAAAATGATCCTTGAAACGTTGCTGAAGTTCTTTAGATGTCCAATCTCTCAATGTAATTTGATGTCGACAGAGACTGGTTTTGCATTGGCAATCATCAATAAAAAGTATATTATCATTTGTAAATACAGCATAATCAATAGTTATTTCTTCATCGATTCCTATCGGTCGTCTAGCAATTATTGTTGTTTCATTTAACATCCACAGATTTGGATCACACGAATGATTTACATAGTTTTTCATTGATATTGGATCATCTAGACGATCGCCAATATGTAATTCATCATCTAATGGTGTTAAAGTGAAATAACGAGCGTCAGTTAACCTTGCTCGATCAGATTTTGACCAGAGTTGACCACCACAGATCATAACGGTTTCGCCTTCGGCAATTGGAGAAGTTGCATAGAGACCTTGACCTTCAATTAACGATCCACGGACTTCAACACGATCATCACACCATGTTTCTCTTTCTATCTTGATTTTATTTTTGTAATTCTCTTTAAACATTTTTTGTTTTGTGGATGAATAAGAAGTTTTCTAAACAGAAAGGTAAAAAAATAAGTTTCTCCTGTTAACGAACTATTTACTAACTAATAATCATTTTTTGCATTTTAATCTTTAAAACATGCACACTTCTCTCTCTAGTGTCTCTTCATAAATTGGTCGCTGAACAGAAGGAAAAACGAAGTGGACGCTTCTTAGAACTAAGATACTGAATTCTATTATAGAACAGTAAACGGTTCGCTCGAACGAAGAAATACGTTTTGTAGATACTCCGCGATAACAAGTGAAAGGCGTTCAACCATTTGAAAATACGTAAAACTTGCGAACTGTCATAACAGTTGACTGAACCAACTACAAACGATATGACTAACGACATATTCCTAAGAAACTTATATCGGTACCAAAACCACTTTTTTATTGAATCAACTAGCTCTCTTCTCTCAATCGTGATATCTGAAAAATCATTAGCCTATTGTTATCATAAGTAACAGATGAAAACTATGTTTCCTTACAAAACAGTGTTACTAACAAAGTCTGTTATGTTCTATCTTGATCGTTTTGCTCGTACAATCTCATAAATACTAAACGTCAGCATAAGTACACTGTACAAACGACCGTAGAATAATAAACCTTTAAAGGGTTTATAAAAGTTGCACGTATAAAAACTCCTTTTTTACCGTTTCTGAAATCGTCTCAAACCCTTTCATAAACCCTTTACAGAGGGTATATGAAAAGGTCTATGACCTTCAAATACCACTTGCAAAGGTTTATGAAAGAGTTTATAACATTCAAAAATCCCTAAAAGGTTGGCTATACATTGCCGTTTTATCAACCTTTTGTAGGGGTACATGAGATTCCTAAGCGCCTTCAAATAGCCTTAAAACCGATTATCAAAATAGTATCTCAGAGGGTTCATGAGGATCATAAATCGTATCAAGAAGTCATCAGAGAATATACCGAATAATTCATGAGAATCAACAAACGTGCCAATGAATCATGAAAGATTTTCTACAAGGTTCATGATCGCCCTGGACCATGCCAGGAGCGCCTGAAAGGGTACACTGTAAAAAAAACGTAGAATAATAAACCCTATAAAAAGGGTTTATTAAATTCCTAAACCCTTCACCGTATGTTGATAAACCCTTTTATCGTTTCTTATCGTTCTCCCAATCCCTTAAAGTGTTTTTGAATCTTCTGACTCTCTGGTCAGGAAGTTC